CGTTAATATTACGTACTCAAAATGACGAAGACTAATGTTCTCAAGTATAGATGATAATTTAGCGAATGGCAGACGCGCTACATGATCTGCGCAGAGTGCATACATACTTGGAGGATTTACAGCATGGCAACATACGAATCTGGATTTATGTCAACGGCGGCAGCCTGCCTCGACGGCGTGCATCCATGCAAACAGCAAAGTCCGCTCGTGCGGCTTACCCGGTTCCATTAAGTGCAGCAGAAATGTTGCACTTACAAAATGTTTGATACCAAGTTAGGAGTAACATCACGTTTCTACGTGCAACAATTTTTATTCCACTTAATGCTGGAGTAAGGTTTATTCTTACTTGAATTTGTTAAATGTAGCGAAAAATGGATTAATCGTTATTAAAATTTTAAATTGTAAAATTTTTATCGTAATGTTATTTTAACATATCTTGAATAAAATAGTTTATATTCTTAAATAATATTTTCCTAGAATTTTAATAAATTATTTTTTATTAAAGAGAAAATGTAACAATAAGTCATATTCAAATGAATCAACAAAGTTGATTATAGGGAAAAAAACACGAAAGTAAAAAAGTAAAGTATATTTTGCATATCAAGGAATACGATAGTGTTTGACGTCAAGTGCATAGTCAAGTAACGAGGTCAACCTGTAATTATCTGTTCTTATCTTATTGTCCATTGTCAAGCACTAGCACTTTTCTTTATTTAAATTTTATTTTGTCATAACATCAACGATATATTTCAGACCTAATACTATAATAAAAATATTGTGTTTTTTTCTTATGCAATGTTAATTGATAAAATAGAATTAACAAACTTGATCTTAAGATCTAAATGTATTAAATGTTAATTTATATGTGTATATTTATATATATATATATGTTTATATGCACATGTGTCAAACAGGTAAAAAATATATATGCTTATAAATAAAAAATATATAAACAATAAAAATTTAACAAAATAAGAAAATTTAAAATTAATTATTAAAAAATAAATATGAGATTATTTTAATAAATAATTTACTTAGATCGCTTAATTTATAAATTTATAATTGTAATAATATTTACAATTAGTAATTAGTAATTTGTAAAACAATTTATTATTTCACGAATGTTAAATAAAAGTAAAACAAATTTATGATTAAAATAAAAAGCTAGCGTATTTGGGTCACAAAAAGTATTATATATTTTACTACATTTTCAAATTTTTATTTATTGCATGCGGATTTGAATACATTTTCGTGTTGCATAGTATTTGTATTATACTTTTTACACATAAATTGCCTGTGAAACTTTTCATATACTTAGGGTGTGTCACATATATTTTTTAAGGATTTTTTGAAAAGATTAAAGTAGATGAAGTGTTCCACTTTTCATTAAACCAATGTTTAAGATACCAAGGTATCCAATGAGACCAAGATTTATCAGGTTCAAACCAAGGTTTCGGTTTATCAGGTCTAATCCAAGATCTATGATTATGATGTTTACAGGAAGCGAAACAATTTTCCTTTTCCTTTCGTATTTGAGATATATCTATTGAAAAAATGCGAAAGTTTGTTTCGTTTGGATTTAATGTGCCAGAGTATACATGTTGAAATCTGTTTGATAACCCCAGTAGTTTTTCCTTTCTCACTTTCATTCCACTTACAAATTGCAAGTCTTCCGCATTTTGGACAATAATTTCCTAAAAATTGGCATTTTATAAGAACTGTAATTGTACTAACAATTATGATATTAACACAATTAAATAATACTAGTAAAATACGAATATTCAAAATACTTTATTATCGCATAAATACAAATTATGTTTAAATATCTTACTGTGTTATTGGAGTCGAACTTTTTAATAGCGTCCGCGCACAGAATGGATGTTTCTGGAATGTTGTTAAAAAATATTGCGCAATGTTCGGATGCTATCGGTGCCGTTTGTCCATCTAATATACCTGCTACTTGAGTTAATTCATCAGCTACATCGTCGCTTAGTATTGAACATTTTTGTAAATCAGACATTTTCATGCTACATATTTTTTTTCCTGCCAAAGCAGCATAGTATAACTCTAAAATATTTGTGAGATATTAACAAACACAAAAACTAACAAAATAGAATTGATTACTTATAAGAAAACTTTTTATCTTTTTTTTTGCTCTTATCAATCAAATATAAATATGTATAACCATTGATTAAAAAAAAAAAAAACATAAAAGTACAGTATGATTCAAATTTAAAGCTAGATTTAAAATTCTTAACATTTGCTATGTAATAAGTTTATATATAGTATGATCCGAATGACTTTCTTTATATTAAAAAATAAATACTTGCTTCCATGAATTATTGTTAAACCAAGAATACCGTCCTCCAAATAAAAACTTTCATTATCTATTGTAAAATTTGGGTCTGTCGGTTTCATACAATCAGATTCGATTCTGCAAAACCCAACATGTTTTTTATATATAACCAAACCATAACCTTCAATATCAGCCATAAACACCTGTACGTATATATGTTTGTTAGACCATTGTTTAATTAATATAATAATCATATCTCGATTTATATAGGAATGATGTATTAACTAATATTCTTACAAAAATTACAAAGAGTATGTGTTATAATTAAAGTAAGATTTAAAAAAATATTACAGTCGCATTATCTATGTTACAATGTCGAACGTCAGCAAGAGGTGTCACTAATAATCCAGAGCCATTTTTGTTATTAGCTATGTCAGGTGGGATGATAACACGATCAACTAGCGAATCGTCTTCTAAATTGAAGATCAATAGTTGCGGGGGACAAACTGCGTCAGCCCCGATTTTGCCACAATCCAAAACAAATAGATGATTGCATTTTATCTGATATAAAAATAATTCTATTTCAGGTATTGTTATCATGAAAACAATATAGATATATGTAATATATAATAAATATATATAATTAATATATTAATATATCGATATAGAAGATACTCACATCCACTCGATAAACACTTATAATACCGTTACATTGACTATCATTATCATTCTGATACCATGACCAATCTGGATATGGAGCCAAAAGTGGACCATTTGGTCCTTCTTCTTTAGATACTGTCATCAGAGAAGCTGGTACACCCTTCTCTCTTACTGAAGTAACGAATATTCTACCATCTATAAGAATTTTGTTCTTAAATGGAACTTGCATGCTGTTAGAAATATTCATAACGAATATATTATTCTATTACAATAGTAACGATATTTGTCTTCTTATCACTGTTAAAATATATTTAATGAGATGTTAATTACAACAATTATTAAATTTTGTGTTAATAAATTTGTATTTATTGATACCTAATACTTATATTTTAACGTAAATGAAATATAATTACTTTTATATTTTGATTTAAAGTTTAATTAATTAATTTTTCCAACAATACAACCTGGTGCCACGTCCACATCATATAAAGCAATTACGTTAGGATCATAATCGCCAGACTTTATAGCCATTTCCTGCTGTTCTGAGTCCCAAGTAAAATTAATATATTTCCATTCGTACATCACATTTAACTCAACACCAAAACTTATATTTGCAATAATTAGAAGTAATATAACAAATAGAAGATGCCTCATTTTGCAGCGAATGGATGGTTGTTATAATATACGACACAAGAATATAACTGAGTTTTAGCCGTAGACATATATTTCGCAAGTGCAAATCTATTAATATATAGCTTGCGCAATGTTAACGATGAGTTTTCAACTCAATGCATATGGAAATATTCTTGGGAAAAACTTTTAATTATACTAGCGATAAACACTTTTGACTTTATTTAAAGTCATTGATCGAATGTTGCTGATAATGACTACTACAGATACATATAATGCAGAATAAATTACATCTGTTATCTACAAAATTCTAAAGAATATAAAAAACAACGAGTATTGCAATTAACTTTTGTTTTTTTCTTTCTTTATTTTATAATTGTGAGATAAATATACAATGACAAGTGTTTAAATAAAGATATTGCTTTACATAAATATTTAGTCATTGATGTTATGTCAATGCTGAAATAAAATAGCAGATTTTATGTAACGCTTTTTATTTTCTGGATGTTTTTTAGATAATAATCTGTTTAGAAAAACTATTTTCTTTCTATAATATAAAATTTATGAAGATTTTTATTTAAGATATCAAGATGTTAATTATCGTAATAACTACAGGAATCAAAACAATTTGTTTTCATAAATATTTCTGCCATATCCGTACGAGCAATGCGAAAGTTTATATCGTCTGAATTTAGTGTATCTAAAATATGTTGAAGTTTGTTTGTCAATGTCATTAGTTTCTTTCCATAACTTCCTTCCGTAACTTTTAATCCACTTGCAAATTGCAATTTTTGGAATCTTTTACGATAGTCTAATAATTAACATTTATTTTATAAGAATTAAAGTTGTACTAACAATTATTATATCCACATTAATAAAATATCTAGAATGATATGAGACATTGTCATTTCCTTCTTGTGATTCGGATTTTTCCAGACAAAATCAACATATTTCCATTCATACACGATTTCTAGTTCAATGTAAGAACTCATTGATATAGTTATCAAAATAAATGTAACAAATAATGAATATTATTTTTAACATGATCACTCTTATGTATAATAAAATATAACTGACAATAAGTTTTATCGGCAGATGTGTAATCGTGTGAAAACAAATAACGTACGTTATGAACGCAATATTAGACAACTTTATCTTAATGTAATACGCATTAGAAATATTTATCAGAAAAACTTTTAACTGATAAACAAAAATTGTAGCCTTATTTCAAATTATTTGGTTTATCATTATTGCAAATAATGTAAATTGTTGTATTTCTAATATGTAGTATGTTATCTTATCAATAAGTTCTGTAGGAATGAAAGATAATATATTTGTCATATAAATACATACTAAATTAAAAAAATAAAAAATTTAAATAAATAAAAAAATTTCACAGAAAAGTAAGTGTCCAATATATATGTAAATTCATTCTCTAATGATATTTTTAGAAACAGATGTTATATTTGTTAAGTAATTCTTTTTTTTCATATCTTTTTGTTTTACAATTATAAAACAAGTAAAAATGATTATATAAAGATATTAATTGATACTTAAAGCTAACATTTAATGATAAGAATTTGATGATTTATCAATTCTAATTTAGAATAAAGTAACATATTATGATTTTTATTTCTCTTTATCTATATCTTTGAACAAAAATCTTTATTTAATAAAATAATAGCTAAAATAATAGCTATTTGATTGAGATTTATATAAAACTTGACCCTATTTCTAGTAATAATTTTTATTATTACGAAAAGCAAAAAATATAACAGCGTCAGGGAAATATTACGACGTACTGTAAAACAAGTGATGATAAAGTAATACGAGTTAAATGTAGGAGAGAACAGATTTCATGTCGTCTCAGAAAAAAAGCATTGTCTATTTTACACGTCTATTACGTCTTGTTATTGCTGATATCCGCGTTATTCTTACAATCGCCGCCGCTATCGTGAGTTTAATCTCGTTACTCGTCGTTTCATTCGTAGTGTTTTCTCGTCAGTCTCGCCTACGCGGATGCGAACGTAAACGCGATTGCGGAAACGCCAGTGAGTCTCTTCGGCGGATTGGACGTTAACATTAATTCGCCACGCTAGTATTCGCAGACTTCAAACGAATCCAGTTCAGATTTACATTCGCGCTCGGTTTATCCTCGAGCTATGCCGTCGCGAAAGGCGCAAACCGCGTTCGTGATAGCCTCCACTTCTATTAAGGCCGATGCAAACGCTGCCTTGGACTAACGGGGTTAAGGATAAAATTGAATTTCCCATTCCTCCTCGGCAATAGCATTAAGACTGAATCAAGGTAGACTATAGCCCACTTTAAAATCATTGAGTTCTCTGTTCGGCTCTCTTCGATGTCATCTTCGGTAATTAAAATGCTGAAGACTAATAATAAAATAATAACAAGCTTAAAAAATATTGTGAAAGAAAATAATCTTGCGAAAAAAATGAATATTTATTGATAATATTAATTACATTGTTTACAGAGCCAAAAGATTGAAATATTTGACGTTTAAATTTCATATTATAAATTGTTAAACAATTTATTCTCTTAAACCAAATATATTATTCTTCTAGAGAGACTACTTTGAAAATTCATGTTAGCTGATCATTGAATAACAAGATAGCCAAAAGTAAAAACTGTAATGATTCTTTTCATTAATTTTAATTGTATCCAACTGAATAATTGACGGCTCTAGATCGGCTAAAACAATTTACCGTTGCCGTTGTTCACTGGCGATTGCGGTCGCTCACAAACCGCGCGACGTGCATCTCTCATTCACACATCGCTTCGACGTTTTCTCGTGTTTTGTTTTCTGTACATTTTTATCTCACGTCTTCTCTGTCGGGATGATTATCCTTTTCTCGCAGATATTTTGCACACGGCTGCTGGGATTCGTCTTTTTTCACGATTCACTACTCTGAAACACCGCGAGCAATGCCACCCGAGGATCGAGCTTGGACTAGCCCTGTTCGATCCATCGAGTGATTCTGATGAGATTGTTCTCGTTTAATTGAACGACAGTAGAAAAACGCTTCTAACGTGTTCGTCTGAGACTTAAATACAACACATCGATTTCCTTTGCTGTGTCACAAAAAGTTTTACATAAAAGTTGAAATCCAGTTTAGTGCAGCGATTTTATAGTCGTTCGATTACCTTTTTATTACTATAACAACCAATGTTAGTTAAAAACAAACACGTTATTCTTTTTTTGATGAAAAAACTGTTACAAATGCTATTTTTAACGAAGTATATTAGAAATTAAATATAGAAATATAGATATCGAATAATTGATAAGTTGATAAGAGATTAATATGGAACTATCGATCTATTCTAAAAATAAAGGAGATCCATTTTAAATAAAAAATATTCATTCCGATAAGTGAGCTTTAATTGCAACTTGCAATTAAACTTATTCCGTTCGTAATATCGATTATGTAACAATGCGGAACGCAAGAGACGCATTATTATATTTACTTTGTCACTCTACCTAGAGATGTATTTGTCATGTCGCTTATCAAATTAACTGAAGCTAAATTGAAATTATATATTCTACATATAACGTCGCATGTTAATTTTAGAATCAACACACAGATGTATATTTTGCAAAATTGCCTCGCAAATAAAAATTTAATTTGCGTTTATAACACCGCAGTTGAAAACCAGGAGTAAAATGGAAGAAGAGAAACTGACGTCCGGGAAATTAAAGCAACACAAACAACGAGGAACGTTCCGCACGTACATACATTTGTCATTATTGGCATGGGTCTGCGGACAATAAAAACCGGAACACAGAAGCACTGACACCGAGGTCTCAGCGAGCCTCTAGACGCGAGTCAAATAACAGCCATTTTATTTCGTTTCGTTTCTCACTGTGGAACACCGTTGGCGTTTGTTTGTCGTTTCATCTCCATAGGAAGCAACAACGGAAACGTTTTAATTTAGTTTGCCATGTGTCGAGTGGAAGCTCTCGAGGAGTACGGAAAGTGACGCGCAGAGAGAGAGAGAGAGAGCAACATATTTCGTAGAACCGCGTTTCATTACTTAACTCCATATTTCCATATTGGAACATTCATTCATTTTGTAGCGCGTGAAGGGCCCGGGCTTTAGACTCCGACGATGGAATTTTACGTACGCGTTTTAATGCATATTAAAAATGCAGCAACGCGCTTTCGGAACTTTTAATAATAACATTCTGTTATTGATTCGCGCGCCGACGTTGTAACGTTAATTGACGGTATCTCGCGAAATTGCACGCATTTTCCGCGCCAAAGCGGTGAAAAGTTTCTGGCTCGAATCCGTTCTCGGATGGTTTATCGGTTCGAAGGGTTTCCCAGAACAATGGCACCCAGGAGAATGGGTTGGCAATGGCGGCAATGGTATCCCTCGTCCCTCTTGTTATCGCTAGGCTTGTCTGGCGAGGCAAAAGATGCGAGCGCACCCTCGAGACACCAGGTAACTTCCCAATGAGCCGAAGTCAGCACGTCACGGAAGATTAAGCTTTCGAAAGCACCGAAATTCCGTCGCGCAAAGGATGATAATCAACTAAAAATGGCGATCGAACGAAAGCTGACTGAAAACAATTTTGAAAAAAAAAAGTGAGCGAAACGAGATTGGCCTTTTTAATCAAAGGCTTTTGTCCCGTTGCGAGAGATGCTTCGCAGATACAATCGTGCGAATTAGCTCATCCGTAAAATAGTTCGATATCAAAAGGATCATTGTGTGTTTCGTTAAGAAATAAAATTTCTTTTTGATTGACAAAGCCTTTTGTAGACTTTAAAGATTCACAGAATAGAAATATCTCATTTTTTTTAGATTTGAAGGCAAGACATGTTGGTTGGAACTGTTACACTTGGCAACAAAAATCAGCGAGGAAAAGCGCGAATATTAAATTCATAAATTTTACCGTGTACGACGTGTGCGACGACCGAATAGAGCGCAAATAAGAGAATAAGGAAGTGGATAACTTTCCACGAATTTTTCGACCTCGTATGTTATCCGTCGGCTTGTGCTGTCCGATTGCCACCGACCACCAACCACTGCGTCTAATGCAGCTTGCCGACTTTCTTTTGGTAACTTTGATACTTTCAAAGGTATCAAGACAGTTTGGGGCTTGTTGTACACACACACACGTACACATTATGAAATGAAATCAAAGAATTCTCGTATTCTGTAATTTTTATTCTCTTGTTTAAATCTTAAAAAAGTGCGATTTA